GCCATATTATTCACATATCGAGTCCCAACAGCAACAGTGTAGGGATGAGCACGACAGTACAGGTGAGCATGAAGGATGGACAATCTTCGGGGATTTTAGATTGGGAACACAATAAAACATTAACACTCAGGGATTTGGGAATAGTCAGACGCCTGCTAATATCGATGATTCGTTTTTAGATCGAATCAATGAATTGTTAAACGAATTCAATCAATGGCACCAGCGTGACCAAGAAGAACAATAACGTCGTATATCATTTTATTTTCAGATCATATGTTACTAATTTTATGCTTTATTGTAGTCCATGTATGTTGATATACTTATTCCATAATAATTCTATGTTTATCCTTTTGTGTGATGTAAATTAAATGCTGAATGGCGGTTCATGCAGGAAAAGAACATATCAAGATTCGCATATTCATTCAGAAACATGAAAATTCTTAATGGAGTACCCTCATTTCTTATTGAATTCCTAAAAAACAATATTTATAATGAATTTTAATAATTTTTTCGGATTTTTTTTAAGTTTTATTCTGACCGATTCACCCAATTCCCTATCCGGATCGCCGATTCGCCGATCCGGATCGGTTTTTTGGGAGCCCGATCCTGGTCATCGATCCGTTTTTTAAACCATTGATTAAAATAATATATATATTATAAGAATAATAACTACCAATATTATTGTATTTCAATAATAATAATAATACAATATTATTGATGGAAAATATTGGTAACATTATTTTAAAAACAATAATAGCGTATACTAATAGTAAATATCATAATAGAATATCATAATACTGTATAATCATCATCGTTATCATTGTCATTATCATCACACTGACTAGTCCTCCTTGTTTGGTCATCTTGTAATGATCTTTATGAGTACTCGATAATATTCTCATGTATAATGTATCATGGAAAACTGATGAGTTCTTGTGCCTTGATGTGGAGTACAGTACCTATAATCATATGCAGGAAGTTGTTCTGCAATTATCACGCCTTCTCCAACGATACCGTCGAGAGGATCCCCATCATGCTTCAAGAAAAACTCAAGCTTGTAATTTAGTAAGTTGCTACACTAATATAAAGCATGCTTATATATATATATATATATATTTTTTTTTTATTTATATATAATGAAATGAATGTTGCTAGGTTGTCACCTGATATGATTACTAGATTTGGTTATGCTTCTAGCATTCCAATCTCGATTGGATAGCTGAGAGTTCCTAGCATATAGAATTCTTTTATTTTTTTACAAATTATAATTAGCCCAAATTTTGGGTGCATGTAGCTCTTATTGGGAAGAACTTGCTAAAAATAAAAAAAGAATGATTCTAATTAAAATAAATGACCACCATGATCTTGCAAAATTTTGGTATTTTTGTCATTTTATTTTGTTAGAAACATTTTTTTAAAATAGGTGTCTCCCAATAATAGCGGTAGCGATACAGCCCTAAAACTTATGCACTATGATTTGTAAAATAAAAATGGCAATAAAAGATATAACAAACTCTGCACCATTTGATCAAAGTTCGAATGACTAGGCCACCAGATTTGGTGTCCATTGTTTGGTAGTTTTTTCCACCACACACACACACACACACACACACACACACACACACACACACATACACATACACACTAGTTTATCACCTAAAATGAATAGTAATGCCATCAAATCTTGATCAGATGGTTGAAAATTCATGTTGCTATTTGAATTTTTATATTTTCTTATAAATTAGATCAAGATGAAATTTTGGGTGTGTACTAATTACATGGTAGGGCACACGAGAAAAATATAAATCAAATGCTTTCTCGAAACTTAAAATGACCAAACTCCCCCTGGAATATAGCAGGCGTAATTTGGTTATTTTTAGTTTTTTGAAAATATATATATATATATATATATTATATTTTCTATGGTGTCTGATGATGTCAAGTAGATACCCTTAAAATTTCACCTTAATCCAATTTGTTAGAAAAAGATTGAAATCCAAATAGCAACACGTCTTTTTAACCATCCTATAAGATATGATGGTTGGGAGCGTAACCTAAACTGCTATTCATTTAGGTAACATATTATTGGTAAATTTTTTTATATATATTTGGGGTAGCCTTTTTATTACGTGAACCGAGCCCTTCATTGGTCGATAATCTCGACCACCATGATCATGAATCTGAAAAATGAAGTTTAAGCTTTAAGATGGTATATATTGAACTTCTTTATTTCATTTTAATTCTTCATGGATCTTCGGAGTTGCGCTAGTTTTGGAGCTGCAAATTCATGGATGTAATGTGCAAATGTGTTTGCTTTGATTTAGGATGGAGTTGCAAATTCATGGATGTAATGTGCAAATGTATTTTCTGTGATTTAGGATGGAGTTGCAAATTCATGGATGTAATGTTTTTCTGTGATTTAGCGTATCGTAAGTCATGAAAAATTAGTGTGAACTGTGCAACCCAAGGTGCACCCTAAATTTATTGAAAAAATCAATTTTTGAACTTAAATTCAAAAAATGGAACATGCCCAAAATATCGAGACCGATTACTTATCTTCGCGCTTGGTGTGAATCGATGCCCCAAATCCTTGTTAAAGTGTCTTCACACAACCCCAAAACCAGTTTTGGATTTTGAGTTTGGATCTAGGAATTTCAAACTCTTGAAAATTTCAGATGAATATTAAAACTGAATTTGAAATCTCTGAAACCCTATGTTTTTTGTGGTTTTTAGTGAAAACCAGGCTCATGATTGTATTAAGAACTCAAAAATAGGATTAGGGCCTGAATTCCCTCAAATATTGATCATCAATTGCAATGGAAAATCGGCTGAAAATTGGTCAATTTCTTTGATCTCAAAATTTTCTACTGGTGTTTTCCCTCAAATCTATTGTTTCTAACTGCCAGATCAGGCTGAAATCTACATAAGCATGAAATTTTGGTTTATTTGGGCAAACCTAAGGATCTAAATTTTGAAGAAATAAAGAGAAAATTAGGGGTTGGATTTTCTGCCGCCATTTATCTTGCCATTGACCAGTACTCGAGTGAAATTGTAGCAACTCCCCCAATAATTGCTGCCTGAGTTCTACAATACTGGATGAGTGTACAGTACTCATCTGAGTATTATACAGCTAGTCCACCCCTTGATTTTGTGCATTGATAATCATGTCGGCTGGAGTGTTAAAGGCTGGGGTAACTCAGCTGAGTTTTGAGTCGACTCAACTGAGTTTTAGAACACTATATATACACATACTCTTTGTGCTGAATGGAAATGTGAGAGAGAGAGAGAGAGAGAGAGAGATTGTGCATAGTGGTTATTATATATATGAACAAGGAAGTGATCGGATTTTTTTTGCAATGGCAGTTAGAAAGGCAAGGAAGTCGTCATCTGAGGTGAATTATTATTTTTTTCTTTCCAATATTGGCAAATTTGTTCGTTAAATCTCTTCTGTCAAGAAATCTGGTTATATTACTGAGGAAGATTACAGCAGGAGGTCAAGCAGCAGCCTTCGAAGGAGGCATTGAGGAGAGGCGTTGATGACTGAGAGACTTTATCGTTTCCACTTTGGATGCAGCTCATATTCTACTTTTGATGTGGCTCATTCTTTTATTCGTTTTCTTTTCTTCATCTATTGCCTTCCTCTTACAGGTCAGTTTGTCCATGTACATATGATAGTTTTAAGTGTTCATAGGTTGGTGTAAATTTGTGCCATTTTTACCCTTTTGCCGTCGCATATGCTAAAGGTTTTAGGCAACAGAATAAGTGGAGCTATGGTTTTCCTTTATTTTCTTTTCTTCTTTTATTTGTTCATATTTAACTTTCTTGGATCTATTTTTTAACTTGGTGCGAGAAAAATTCGCCCCTACTAGTTGTTTCTTGGCTTGATTTCTGTGACATGTGAAGCAATAGCCTTTCCCCTTTGTAAATAAACAGAGACAAACCATTGTTCGATTGAATTGCAGGAGAATGCAGGCAAATCAACATATAATGAGGCTAGGACTAAATTTTCAATTTTCAAGGGAAAAGGGATTTCTAAACTACCAACCGAATGAAAATACACACACAGACACATGTATATAAAGAGGGAGGGGGGAGGGTTTGAAGAATGATGCATGAAGGGGAATCAGCACCATTACAACTCAAATCTTGAAGGTTTGAGACAGTTGCAGCATGTGGGCTTTTCTTCTAACGTTGGGAGGTTGTTTTACGCTGCCAATCCTTCACAATACAATAGTGATATGGGTGTTTTATAGATCATTGTGATACAAAACCCATAACTGATGGTTAAATGGAACTCGGTTTTCGTTTAGGAGGAACTTGAGGAGAGGAATGTATTTTCACGTTTGACCTTTGTTTTTAAGAGCTTTATGCCTTAATCTCCACCGACCTGATGGCAGAAATGGAATAAGAGGGAATACGAATACTATCACCTTGGACCAAAGTTTTCCCAAATGTAACAGCAGAGTCATCTTATATCAAAGTAAAACTAAAATGAAAAGGTTTATCGGTCCTTTAGTATATTGGACACTGGTCCTATGGTGAGTACACTAAACCAGCAGATCGATGTGATTTGGTTGAGAGATTTTCTTAGCATTTCTAATTCATTTCTATGTTAATTCAAAAAAATAAAAATAAATGATTTGGAGCTCCAAAAAGATGTTCCAAATTCCAATTTTGGATTCTACATGATCTATATAATGGTCTGGGCTTTCCCTAAACTGCATACTACAATGATAGCATGAAACATAAATAGTTACTTTGATAATTTTTAGATTTACAAAACCGAAGGGCAAAAGAAAAGGGTATGAGGTGTCAAACACGTGGTGCACTTCCAAACTTTTTCTAAAGATATTATGGTGCTAGAAACCTCTACGATCGCTTGAAAATCTATGTCCACATCTAATAATGAAATTAAGACTTCAAAAATAGTGCAAATCGAGTAGATATGTAAATACATGAAAATCTTGAAAACCGACAATCTAGACAATTTGTTACAATATGTACAAGATGTACTATTATTAGGATTTGAAATCCTCTCTTTTTTTATATCCATGTCTTGTGGGCAATACAATCGATTGGAGGGTTTTTTGACATTACCTTTTATGATGGTTTTGGTGGTGCAGTTTACTTCTATAGTGTAAGGTCGACACCAAAAGTTATTTTGTAGCTCAAGTGCCTGCTCTTTCCTATTCTGGTCTTGTTACTGAGGTTTTGAACTCTTTATCTGACGAATCGTCGCCCATAACACACCGTTGGAAGTCCAATGGACAGTCATGCAGAGCAGACCGCCATGAAAATGACGTTCAAGGGTCTGGTGAAGGTCATGGAGAGTGTACTAACCTAGGAGGTAAATGAGAGGAAGGCAATGGCAGAACAGGCTTAAGAGTAGGAGATCCATGAAGGGCCAGATGAGCGATGCCAAGGCATCTGTGGTGTAGGAGGACGAGAGCCCTACTAATGCTAGCCTAATTGGGGTCACCTAGGGGTAGTTTTTAGGCCTAAATGAAGAGCTCTTTTTGTGGAACATGTGGGGTATCGGTGACGTATGGACGAGGAAAATTTTGGCTTTCATGATCCAAAAGCACAGACCCTACATACTCTTGCTCTAAGAAACGAAATTGCAAACCCTTGATGTTGCCCTTTTGCAAACGTTTTGGCGTAGGGGCCAAGTAGAATTTTCTTTTTCTTAGTACTTCTGAGGAACCCTGGTTGATTTGGGACCCTCACTATGTCGTAGGCTCCATTTTGAGAATAGACTTTTATCTGTGCAGTTTGTTAATACTATCGATAATATAAGTTCGTATTTGATATGTGTATGGTTCAAATACTCCCACTTAGAGACATGAGTTTTTTATTAATTTGGGTAATATGCTAACTAACAATGTCCCAAGGAGTGGAAAGGGGGACTTTAATATGATCAGGGACTTTAAAAGATAAATGACATGATTTAATGAATTTAGCCAGACTTGTGTTCTAATTGATCTCCTAATTACTGCAAACACTTATGCACGGTCAAACAATTCTGGGTAGACGCCATTGATGTCCACGGTAGATCGAGTTCTTGTGTTCCCTTCTTGGGAAGTACTTTTTTCATGGGAAATTCTGAGTAGACGCCATTGATGTCCAAGATAGATCGACTTCTTGTGTTCCCTTCTTGGGAAGCACTTTTTTCCTGGGTTTTGGTGAGAACATTGCCAAAGGCAACCTCGAATAATGTCCCATGTTGTAGTCCACTGAAGATGTGAACTCTGGTCCATCTCCCTTACGATTTGAATTGATGTGGCTTAAAGATATAACTTTGGTAGAAGTAGTGGCTCAGGTATGGAACTATGTATATGTACTTAGCTGGTGGGGTTATGGCTAAATAGCTTACAACATCTGAAACAAAGGCTTAAGAAATACAGGAGAGAATCTTTAGGGGACATCTTTGTCAAGATAGAGGAAATAATGAGGGAAATTTAGGAAATCGATTCTAGGGAGCAGATGTAGTAAGTCATAGTTGGTATGCTACTACTAGAGCTAAATTAAGAGAAGAACTTGAACGCATTTCGAAAATGGAGGAGTTGTATTGGTTTCAAAGGTCCTGATCTAAGTGGTTTAAAGAAGGGAATAACAATAGTAAGTACTTTCATACAATTGCAATTCAAGGCAGAGGTTAATGATACACAGAATATACAGATCCCAGGAATTTTGGATGATAGTTTGGAAGGGAAACAGCAGGCCATTGTAGATTTCTTTATGACGGCTTTTCACTTATGTGGATCGGCATTCTATTTTAGAAAAGGTTCCTTTCCATAAGTTAATGATTGAGCAAGTGAGGAATTCAAAGCTTCCTTTCACTGAGGACGATATAAGGGAGGTTGTCTTCGCATTGCAAGGGACAAAGCCCCAGGTTTCTAATGGCATACCTCTATCATTTCTCAAACTTTTTAGGAGGCGGTGAAGCAACAACTCATGATGGTGTTCTGACAATTACATCAAAGAAGAAGACTACAAACTCTACATTCGCAGCATTAATGCAAAAGAAGATCCTTAGTAGATATCAAACCCATAAATCAGATGATGGCCACCTACAAGATAATGGCTAAGGTGCTAGCAAATAGACATAAAGGGTCTTGAGGGACGTGGTTAAGGGCCCACAATAAGCTTTAATCCAGCGTAGATAGATCAAAGATTGTTTTGAGATGGCTTAGGAAATGATATACTCTAAGTTGAGGAAGGCGAGGCATGGTCTTATGTGTAAATTGATTTTGAGAAAGCCTGGAACTATTAGATAGATAAATACATGGGCAATGGGGAAAATTGGAGGTCTTGGCTTTATGGTTGCCTCTCTTCAACACATTTCTCGGTTTTAATTAGTGGGAGATCAGTAGGATTTTCCAAGGTAACCAGAGGGATCAAGCGGGGTGATCCCATGTTACTTTTTCTCTTTATATTGGTCGATGAATCTTTTATTTTGATGGCTTGATCAGTTTATGAGACGGGTATGATGAAGGGAGTTCGTATCACTAGAAAAGGACATGTTGTCTCACGCCTATAGTATGTTGATGATAAGCTTTTATTTTGTGATGCCTTGATGGAAGAAGTTAAGAATCTATTGACTCCTTAAAGTGTTCCCAAATGGTATCACTTCCTAAAGTCAACCTGGAGGAAATGAAGCTTGTTGGCTTGAATTGTGAGTGGGAGCTAATGGTGCAGTACTGGATAGGCTGCCAGATAGAGAGTTGCCATATTAAGCACTTGGGACTTCCTTTGGCTAGAAGCAGACCCCTGAGAGGAGACCATAACTCAATGGACAAAAGATTTCACTATAAATTAGACTCTCGGAAATCAAGGTACCTTTCATTGGGAGGAAAGATTACTTTACCTAGAGCCAATTTGTCAAGCTTTTCTATTTACTATTTTTCTGTATTAAGGATGCCCAGGTGGCCATTCGAAGGCTAGAAATGCTAATGAAGAACTTCCTATATAGTGGGTCTGTAAACAAGAGAAAATCTACCTGGTTAGATATGCAATTGTCAGTCTCCCAAATTGAGCCAGAGGTTTGGTAGGCAAGAGACTTGTACCATTACATGATGCAGTCTTGACCAAATGGTGGTGCTGGCGAGTAGAAGGTCATAAGCACCCATAGAAGAGTTTGTTGGGGATGAAGTATGGGATACATGAAGAGTGTTGGTTAGTGAAACAACTTACAATTATCTCTTAGGTGTAACATGTGTGGAAGGCTATAAATCAAGGTAGAAATTCTCTGTAGTTATAATAGAACTCAAATTGGAAATGGCACTAGAACTAATTTTTGGAGCTTTAAGTGGGTGGGACAGATGCCTCTTAGAACTCAATTCCTGAAGTTATGCCAAAAAGTAGCCCTAAGGATCATGGAGAAGAACTTAATTACTGGAATAATTCCTAATGTAGTTAGGGATATTGCTTTTAGGTACTGTAAGGTTGATTAAGAGTTGGGCAACAAGTTTGCGCAGTTGATATCTGTCCCAAACCAAATTTTATTTTCTCCTAGAAAGATCAGACAAAGTGCTATAGGAGCTTACTTCTCATGGCATCTTCAAGGTTAAGTTAGCTTATAGCAAATTGTATGAGCACCGCTATGTGGGCCCATATCCACAAGCCTCTAACATATGGAAGTTCAAGGCTCCGCATAGGATACATGCATTCTTGTGGTTGGCTTTAAGAGACAGAGTGCTAACGAAGGAGCAGGTGCAGAAGAGGTTTGTAGTCATACTAATAAATGCCCTCTTGTGTAAAGGGGATATTGAAATAAATGCTAACCTTTTTCTACAATGCCCTTTCTCTTACGCGATTAGTGCTAGATCTTTTCTAAGATTTGCTTGGCATAAGTGGTACCTTACTCCGTATCCCATTTTTTTACCTAGTGGGCCTCCCTTCTATTTACAGAGATTGGTATTAGACTATGGAGGATCATTATGGGTGTTGTGTTGTAGCAGTTATGGAAGAAGAGAAACTGGACGATGTTTCTGGGGATGGTTGAGCCCCTTGATAACATGAAGGAAGGGATTGCGTACTCTTTGGTCAAGTGGGCACAAGCTTGGAAGGGTTTTAAGAGATTTTTGAATGACTTCCTACTAAATGTTGAATCCTTGCTTCGCTTCAGCCACTACGAAAGACAAAGGCAGGCATGTGGCTGAAACCTAAGTTGGGGTTGCTAAAGCTCAACTTTGATGGTAGTTCCAAGGGGCACTTATTCTCGGCTGGATGTGGAGGTATTCCAAGGGATCATGAGGGAAATATTATATTTTCATACTTGGTTCCTTTATCCCCCTGTACTATAATTGAAGTTGAGTGACGTGCCTTGAAACATGAAGTTAGCCATTTAAGAGAGGAGCACAAAAGAATTATTATAGAAAGAGATTTAATGAAAGTTTACTTTTGTATAGAGCATCAAAAAACTCCATGGAGAATGCAATAGACTATGAATGAAATAAGATAAATGTTAGCCATGAAAGAAGTGCAACACCACCACGTAAATAGGGGGAGGAATGTCATGGCAGATGAGCTTGAGAAGGAAAGCTTTGAATTTCTTAGCATAGAAGAACATGCTATTTGACGCCTAAGATGGAGTGATTTGTGATGTTGTGGCAAATTAGCACACTCAAATTTCTGGCGAGAAGTAAAGTGCAATAGATGCCCAACTCAAGATACATTTTCCAGCTCTGAACTTTTTCTCCTTTTTTGTTTTGGAAAGACACCCTACTTTGTTTGGTAGGTTGATTCTATGTTAACTCTTGATAGGTTCATCATGTCATTAGTGTTGTTTCTTTGGTACTCTTCAAGTTCTTAGTTTCTTTGTGTTGTACATCTTTCAATTGTAGTTAATTTGAAAAAAAGAAAAAGAAAAAGGTGGACGCCTTATATAATTTTTTTTCCTAAATGGATACTTAGTTTTTATATTTTAGTCTTGGGCATGTATAACATAGTTATCATGGCTGGTCTGGACCGGCCAATTTGACTACTTGAACCAGTGATTGATACCTTGGTTGGTCTAGTCCAAAGTAAAAAATCAAGTTTTGATTAAAAACTGGTCAAAATCAATGTTTGACTAATAAAGTTGAACTTTTTTTTAATATATTATATATTTTCAACTATTATTTATATTTTTATTTATATTTTTTAAAGTTGATTCAACCAGTTGGATTGGCAATCGGGCCGGTTTTGACTAAACAAAGCCCAGACCGTTTGGTGGCTCGTTGGATCTTGATAATGTTGATGTATAACGTGTTCCCACATGGTTATGCGGGCAAAACACCCAAGGAAACTTGTAAGTTTGCGACTTGTAAATTTCAAAATCATTTTTCATTCGCCTGACATCAGTCTTTCTTTTTTAATAGTTGAAGAGATTGAGCTATTAAAACTTTCGATCTGATTTTTCTTTTAAATTATCTTCTTCTTAAAAAATGAAGATATTGCCAATGAAACTGACCATTTAGAGTCCAGGTGAAACTGACCATTTAGAATCCAGATATTGCTAATGAAACTGACCATTTAGAGTCCAGGTGAAAGGTAGTCAATATGGAGCATCTTTTGGGAGCTCCAAAATCTTTACCTAAACCTAAAGCTTTCTTTTCGGATTCTCTCTCATCTCTTTATCTCAAGAGCCATCCAGGTGACTCTATCTCTATCACCTATTGCTTATAAGCTGTCAACCTTAACAATTAAAGTAAGGCATATCTATTAATTAT